ATGACCCCAATTTCTCTGGAAGAGACCTTTCCCTTTGAACAGGGCAGGGTTTGGACTCCTCAGCTCAGCCCTCAGCATTGCTGCCCAGGAGGAAGTGATGACTCTGCTGGCCAGCACCTCTGCAGGCAGGGGAAAGTGGCTCATCAGAGATGGAAGTGTTTGGCCCAGAGCAAAGAGGCAGAGCTGGAGAAGCAGAACTCACTGCCCTGCTCCTGCTCTCCAGTTGCCTCTGCTGATCGAGCACTGCACAGGTGCCTGCAGCTGGACAAGCTACAAATACACTCGCATGAAACCTCCCACAAGAAACCTCCAGTTTCCACAATATCACAGCAAAGCCACCCTTCCCTTGCTCCCAAATGCTGAGCTTATTTTGTAGGCAGACACTAAATGGCTTACTGTCCACTTCCACACCTTCTTGCCCACAGCAGAGCTGGGGTGACCTGATACAGCAAAGGGACACACCAAAGGGGGCAGACAATGCAGAATGCAAGTCCACAGTCCCTTCACCCCCTAGTGACCCACTTGAACACTCAGGGAAGGTGAATTCCTTTGTGTTTTTCATGCAGCAGCAGGAACCTCTCTCCTCCCCGAGTGTCCTCAGGCCTCAGAGCTACCTGCTTACCAAAGGTAATGTAGCCAATATTGTCGCCAACGGCCGCGTCTGTGTCTTTCAGCTCCAATGGCGGCTCCCTGTGGCTGAAGAGCACCTGTGGGGCTGTGTGACTGGCTCGGCGACCCTCCTTGAACTCCTGAACAAGACAAAGCAAAGGTGAGTCCTACTGCGACACTCCAGCAACACACTGGGAAAGCAAGTGGGTTTCCCCACTCCCACAAGGCATCTGAGCAGGAGGTTTCCCAGCTTTCCCTGAATGGGCCGAGTCCATCAGGCCGAACCTCTGGAAAACAATCCTTTTTCCCAGCAAAACCAGACCAAAACGCATGGCTGTCCCGGGTTTACACATGGCCCTAGCACAGCCCCTCAGCTGGGATGGCTTTCAGCATCACACTTCCTGCCATGGGTGTTTTGTGGAAGGGACACCTCAGACTGAGCAAGCACATGAGACAGCACAGCTCCTGCCGTAAAGTCAACACCGTCAAGGCTTCCAGCAAAAGCAGGCAGTGCCCATCACTCCAGAGAAGAAATTCGCAGAAAGGGCTGTGAGGTCTCCATCGCACCTAGCATAAAGGCTCTGCCGTTTGAGAAAGCATCTCCCACCAGGAGTCTTTGCCTAGGCATTAAGAGGCATCTATGGGGTTTGAAGCTTCTGTGTGAAGCCTGCTCCTCCTGCCACTTCTCTACACCTTGAAACAATACCTCCAGGCAGGGAGATCCCTTCTGCCAGGGAACCTCTCTGACAGTAGCACGACCATCACCTCACATGACATGAACTGGCTCTGCATTTCAGGAATTGTAGGACTGTCCCTACGTGGGGCTGGAAAGTCCAGACACCATTCTCCTGCCCCAAGGCAGGGCAGCCTCCCCTCTGCCTCACTGACCCCCAGCCCAACCTACACATCATCAGCCACCCTCGGCCTCTCCTCCCTTCTGAGCACAGCTCACCCTGGGAAGGGCAGGAGCATCTGTGCCCCTTTTAGAGAACCGAGTAGTTCACTGGGGTTTCCTTAATGAAATGCTTAGCTTGCACTTCCTCCTGTTTATGCCAGAGGATGAAATGGTTCAAATGGCTTCACTGGTTAGTTAATGGTCAGATTTTCTCCATGAGAGCCCAGATGAGCAGCTACCATGCCTGACTGGGCTGCGTTATGCAAGAGCAATAGCTGGAGGGAAGGAGCCAGCGTGACTCAGAGTGGAAATTCTTGTGGCTGGGCAGGAGCAGAGTTTGCTGTTATAAAAACCAAGAACTTGGGACATGGAGACTCTGGGACAGCTGCTGCCTTGAAGCCCTGCCACCTCCCCGGGAGCCTCACAAACCCTGTTTTGTTCACCTCACGCCTCCCTCCTTGTTTTAAAAGCTGAATTCCAGGCTGTGGGATATGCTGGTGGGAAAAAGCTCAAAGCCAGAGCAGATGCCCTGCCTGTAGCTAAAGAACACAGAGAGCAGAGCTGCGAGATAAGACTCTTACCACAGCAGATCCTGTTCTAATGACCCCCAACACAGGTAAACCGGTATCCAGCAAACTGGGCCAGTAACTTGCTGTCCACGAGCCTGTCAGCAGCACGGCCTGGCACCCCTGAACAGATGGGCTAAAAGCTCCTCTAGCCCTGGAACACCCTGCAGGGCCCTGCTCCACAGCCGTGCCCGTGCAGGAGGCTCCCCAGGTGCTTCAGCAGACACAAGGTGAGCTAGGCGGGCCAGCAACATGGATGAACACAGGTACCAGCATGCACTGGGCCTTCCCCAGCTGTAAGCAAATGTCTCAATCTCCACAGGCTGCATGCAGTTGCTAACAGACACGCAAAGTGTTTACTACGGGCCTCTGAATGCTTCCCAGATAAATGGCAGTTGCAAAGGGTAGCTGAGTCCAGAAGTACTTGGCATTATGATGATTGATTCAAGCCCGCAAACTAAGCAAATTCATAGCTTTGAAAAGCTCAAACTCAAGAGCCCATCGTGGCATGTGAAAGCAGCCACACTGAGCTGCTGAGTCTCTCTGCAGCATTTGAACATTAGCAGGAACAAACTTCGAGGTGAAGACAACTCTCAGCACCATCCCAGGCACAGCACAACATCGCCTCACCCCTTCATCTCCCTCTACAGCCTCCCCACCATGCTCAGCTCCTCAGCTGGCTGGCAATCCCTACACCACAGCTAGCTGCACTACATGGCCTCAAGGTGGATACTGAAGTATTCACCATGGTGTTTCTCATCTGTAACGCATAATATGTTTGATTGTCCATACAAGCAAGACCATCGATAATAAAGATGCCAATGCAAGAACCTGGATTAGAAAATACACTGCCTATGCCTATTGACATGGTTCTTCCACCCCAATGCAGCCTGGGCTCTGCAAACTGCCTGTGAGCTCACTTCAGCCTAATGTGCTTGTTCGGCAATGCTGCTTCAAGCAAGAAGGCATCTGAATCGAGGGTCAGATCCTTTCCCCATAATTCAGTTTCCATACCTGCATAAACACCTTTCCAATCACCACGTCATCGTCATCCTTAAATACCGTGCTGAACACAACTGTGACGCGGTCCTTTTTCGCCTCAACATACCTGCAGGTGGGTGAGAGAGGAGAACCCAGCTGTGAACAGGAGCTAAGAAGTACAACTGGATGAGGAAGCAACCGCGTGACAAGGTCAAGTAGATGCAACAACCATTCACAGGCCTGGCTGCTGAAAATTTCCCCTCTCTCGAGACAATATTTACAGGGAGCAAAACACTTCTGTTGGGAGCAGCCAGTTCCTCTCCTGCATGCAGCCGCAAGCGCTGCCACTAACAGTCGCTTGTGTAACATCCCTGCAGCCCAAGGGATGAGCATTACTCTCACTGGATACTTCTGACAGCCTAGGACAGGCCCTTATTACCCTGCCAAAACACGGAGCAGTAGGATTTCCTGACTTTCCACCACAACCTACAGCTGTGAGCAGGAGTGAAGAGCATACTGTCAGCTGCCCAACTCCCATGCTGCTTGGTTTGAACACTTACATTGTCTCATCGTCCCTGTAGTGGATGACGGCTCTTTTTTCTCCTTCTTTGCCCTCTTCCTGGAATTTGAAATACTTCTCAAAGACTGAAGCAAAGCAGTTGCGCTTCAACATGCCGGCTTGGTGCACGATAGCATCCTTGTCTGCGGGAAGGTTCTCCAGGTCGTAGAGCAAAGAGACATTGTAACCTGGGGAGGGACAGCCACTAACCTTAATAATCTATCTAGGGCATTAATGCAGCCAGAGACATTTTCCAGAAAGAGACATCTACAGTCCCACCTTTGCCTTAAGCCCTCCCAGTAGCCCCAGAGGTGAGTGCTTCGCACTCCAAGCATCGCCAGAAGCCATGCCTGAACTCGGCACGTGGCCATGGCAACGCTCCTGGGGCTCCTTCCCGAGCTCCCAGACACACGTGCTGGCTGAGCTGCTCCCAAGTTTTTGCAGTGAGTAGGAAGAGATGCTGTCACAGGTAACCATGGTTTTCCTGTGTCTCACGAAGCGTCTTTGAGAAGAACAAAGACCCCAACTGTGAGGAACAGAGGGTTCCTGGAGGAGGGCTGCATCAAGAATTACAGCTTGTGCTGCAAGCTACTTCAGCCTTGACGTACCCGAGCCACCTTTTGAATTGCCATTTATTGTACAGAGCGCCCCAGATAATCAAGCTCTTGAAGCGCAGCCTTCATTTTTTTAGCATTTCTGAGGTGACTTAAGTAATTTTGGAATTGCATTCACATAGACACATAGAGTAAATGTTATAGCGGGGTTACCTGACTCAGGATTTACCAAGTAGTTTCCATAGACTTTCTTCAATACCTAGGAAAGAAATTAAACATTGAGAGCACAAGCTATCAGTTGTTTCCTCCCGCGCAGCCCAGGCCATGTTCAGTCTCCATTTAGAAGCATAAAATTCAGCATCTGCCTCCCCCAGCCTAACTGAACTTGGACAAATATTAAGTCATCGGCTTCTAGTATTACTGGCTGCTCTTACTCTAGGCAGAGCTCCCTGAACCCCACTGACAGGGGACGTGCTACAGGACAGGACTCAAAACCGGAACTTCTCAAAGTTTTTGCTAGTCTTGAACTCGTGCGGAGAAAAAATCCCCTTCGATACGCCTCGTACCTTCAAAGGAGAACTGTCAACAGAGCTCAACACAACAGATCTGAGGGCTACAACCCTCCTTCCCATTCAAAGGCAGATGCAAAGTGTACAAAGGCACTGCAAAGCTTGCCCTGTCCCCCTCCTTGCGGGAAGACAAGTTCAGAGGAGGGGTCAGGCACAGTGCAGCCAGGCAATCACTCGTCCTGCCTCAGACTCTTGCACGGGACAGATGGGGATGGAGAGGAGACTGCCAGGCAGCTTGGATGCCTCCCAGAAGCAGAGCCACCTACAGCACAGCAAAAACCTTTCTTCAAACATAATCACTGCTGAATTTTACATCAATGGCAATTTTCAACTGAGCCATAGCTCTGTGTCAGTGAGGGGGCTGGGAACAGGAGGTGTTTTACAGAGAAGAACACAATAATGCTGTGGCAGAACCAGCCCTCCTGGTCTGACACCCACTACCATGCAGAGAGGATGCACAGGCTCTCTGCCTGCCAAAACCTCCTCTCAGCAGAGAACCTGCCTGCCTGCAGCAGCCCAGGGAGATGCTGTGTCTTAGCAGGAACACCGCTTTGTGCTCCTCACAGTGGGGTTTCATCAAAGATGGAGCAGAAACAAGCTCCATCATCTCCAGGGAAGCACAGAAAGCAACAGTTTGCTAAATGGCGATTTAAAAATGTAATTTCTATTTAGTCAGCACTCCCAAGGCAGTCCTGCAGAGATCCCATCTTCCTCTCAAAGCTTGGGAAGTTGCCTGTCAGCTGCCTGCACTCCCAGCACAGCCTGTGGAGCAATGGGCCTGCCACAGCAGCTGGGGTCAGAGAGGAACACCGCTCTCCAGCCGTCACCACAGTGGCTGCTGGTGCACAGTGGTGTCAGCCACTCGCCCACCACAGTGGTTCTCCTGGGATTAGGCACCATGCTGATCCTTGCTAAACATGCTGGGAGGGCTCCACCGTTTGGGCTGCTTGACTCTCTTGTTTGCCAGCAGCAGTACCTTCAGTGGGGCAGGTCCTGCTACCCTGTTCCGTAGCAGGCAGCGCTGCTCCTAGAAAGCTCTGCATATAGGAACCAGGAAAGCAGGACACTCAGTTATATTTATTCTGACGTTGGTAGGTCTTGTAGCAACTCGCAGGAATTCACTTTGGGTTCAAATCCCCTGTTTCTCACCAGATTCTCAATAAACTCATGGAGCAGTTTCCTTGTTTTCCTCCAAGGACAGACACCCAGAGGCAAAAGCCTGCTGAAGAGCTTTGGGTGAACCCCATTTGCTAACATGAGGAGATCTGAAAACTGAGTCAGGAACTGAGTCACACTTCCTGCCTCGCCTCCCAGCCACAGCTCAGAGAGGCTCCTTCTTTCTACCATAAATGGCCCTCCGCAGCCCCGGCCCATTCAACAGGAACTGAACCTGCTACTTCACACAGCAGCAGCGAAAAGGGAACCAGACAGTCTGCAGATCAAGGTCTGCACACACAGCAGGAGCCCATCACTCGCTCTCAAGTGTGGTTAGAGTCAGAAGAGCAGTGCCATGGGACTCCAGATTTGTCTTGGTGCCTTCCTTCACTCGCAGGCTCAGCACATCAGTCAGGGAAACTATTTCTATATGGTCAGGCCTCACACTCATTTAGACTTTCAAAATTAGTGGTGCCTTTTGCCTCTCAGGTGGTAGGGTCATATAAGCTGACCTCTTATTCATGAGAGAGTGTGAACACACTTTGCCCTTGTCTTGCAGCAAAGTGGGACTCCTGGTCGGCACAGGGCTGCTCCTTTGATTAGCATGAGATGGGAGCACAGATGCTTCTCTAAGGGTTAGACGTTGGATCCACTAACATTACAAGGACATTGCCCAGGCTAAGACAGCATTTGCAGGCTCAAGGCCCAGAGATGCTCACTCACCTCGTCAGCACCGTGTTCCTGGAGTTCCTTGTAGAATTTCAGAGAAATACTGACCATCACTTTTGTCTTGTCTCCATTGGGGTTTGAAATATGGTAAAGGACTCCATCAAAGTCTATGAAGCAAGTGAGAGAAACGTGAGGGAACAGGAACTAGTTCCTACTTCTGAGGAAGGTTCTCCCTACATGTTCTAGGAACTACATAAAGCAACACTGTTCCCCCTGCTCCAGCCCTCACACATACACCAAGAGAGAAACCTGTAATTAAGGAAAGTGGTAATGTCATGTAGGGAGACTTGTTATCATTCAAAGGGCTGAAACAGTTTTGACACCTGTCCATCACAGAAGGCTTTAGTCTAGTGGCATTTAACATCCCTGGCAAATCTGCTTGTGCTCAACGCACAAGGATACAAACATGGAGAGACGGGAACCTTCTGGATGGCCAGCACAGAAAGTGACTGACATGCCCACGGGGCCAGAGCTGCAGCCTGGAGGAGAAAACATCTCTGCCAGCAAAGGCAGCTCAGCCGCTGCCTGCTGAGACAGCTTCCACTTCACTGCAGAACGGGCAGGGAGGGCAGGAGGCAGGGAAAGGCAACCCTCCAGCTACCTAGCAAGCCTCACTTCTCCATGGAGTTCTGCAGCTTACACAGATTCTTGATAACAGAAGCAAAAAAAATAAAAAAAAAAAAAAATCAGTTGCTGAATGAACATTTGAACTTCCTTGGCACTTCTCGTCCTAGAAAGAAAACTTCAGGCGATGAATTCATCTTGCCTGTCACCCCGAGCCAGCTTTCTAACAACCCAAACCAGATAGTGCTAAAGACCTAATAACAAGTAGCATCAAGGGCAGGACTGGAGAACAGGCGAGGTAAGAGAGCTATGTAGCACACACACCACACAAAGCACTGCCACCACTGAACTCACTGCTGTGGGGGAAGTTCCAGGGAAGGCGAACGGACAGAGAAAATAGTGGGGCAGCCGACAAAGCCCCAGCTCCGGGGACACTGCAGGGTGTCCACACCGTCTGCCCCTGCGTGGCTCTCCTCCCCCTGCAGTGGTCCTGGGTGAATTTGGACACGCCAGGTGTAACTGTGGGCAGGCTGTTCGAGCCAGCCCTTTTTTCAGAGAAGTCATGAGAGTTGTGGAGCTTACCTGCGAATGTTACTTCTACTGCCTCTGGTTTATTTCTAAAAAGCAAAGGAAACAAAGGAAGTAAATGAGAACTCAAACAGCAGCCTCCAAGCTGTGAAGGAAAGAGGATTAATTTCTAATGCCTTCTTTCTCACAAGCAGCTATACCTGAAACCCTTCTAACTCCAGCTGTTCAACTAGCAGATAACCTTTGATAAGAAATCTCAGACTTCTCCCCATTCCTATAAGCACCAGTCTTAGCACAGATGATATAAAATAGGCCTCGAAGCTGGCAGAGATTGTTATTATTTGTAGTTTATTAATAGATTTTGAGAGCACAGATTTCCAGTTAGAAATGTCTGAGAAAGCAACTCATCACTAATGAGTTTGTTTTAACAAGCGCATTCTCCGTATCGAACAGCCACAGTACAGGTTTGGGGACAGAAGCTCTTTCGTAAGTTCCTGCAATACCAGTTCATGGAAGGGACTTAGCGGCTGAGCAATCCTTCCTGACACGGTGCCCCCTTCACCATCAGCAGCAGCTCTGCAAACACGTTGATGTAACTCACTTGCAGAGAAGACCCCTTTTCCAAGTTCGGGGCTAGGAGCAAACCACAGAAGGAAACTTTCCAGATGTGCATTTCATCCTGCCCCTGCCACGTCCCTTCCGAAACACCTCAACACTATGCCAACTACCTCTGCAGAAATACTGTCGATCTGGGTTTGCTCTAACACTGCCCAGTGTGCCCTTTGGGATCCCTGATTGGCAACAAGAGCACCTCGCAAGCCAAAGGCACATCACTTCTTATGCTGTGGGTATGAAGATTTAACAAATCTTAACAAACCCTATTTGCCAGTTTGTCCGTGATCTGTAGAAGAGTAGGATCCCGTGAAAGATCAAACTGCTTCTGAAAAGTGATTTTGTTGGGACTGGCACTACATAACTGCTTTGGCAGCTCCAAGGGGACTGGTATTAATAGGTCATTCTCCAACAGGGAGCAATGCAAAGGTACCTCCAACTGCTGACAGCAGGGGTGGAAAATGAGAACAGGATAAAAATGCTGGTCTGCTACTGTTGTTTCACAGCGTATCACTGCTTATTTTTCAAAAGTGGACGATATTAAACAGAGTACAGGCTAATGCTGCTGCTAACAGAAATCTAGCCTCTACAACAGTTCATTCACACCCAGCTGAACCAACGGACTGAAATAACTCCCCAAACCAAAGCCAGTGTGTTGAGGCAGGCTTGTGGTCTCAACTACGCTGCCGCTGCCCAGAGACCAACTTCAACCTTTTTGCCAAAACTTGCTCTGTCCACGCACGTGTATGCTGCTGGGTACCGGCTACACCTCAGTACATACACCAGGAAAGGTGGGGGAAGCGATGACTCAATATCTACTTTCCCTCACCATATTCTGGAAAGGTTTAAATGATTTTTTTTCCCCCAGCAGAAAGCACTGTTCTTCCCTCAGCTTTTCTACAGACAGCCTCATTCCTGCAAGCCAGGAATGACCACAATGTGCTAAAACTCAAGATGGGCAATGCAGGGAGACCAAGGCACTGAACAGCACTGATCCCAGACCATGCACCAAGTCAACAACTCGGGTGGAAAGGGAGGAATGAACCCCCAGCCGGAGATCCTAAGTGGAAATGATGAGGTGTTGCTGCTTCTTGAAAGTTATTAGCTCTGAAAAGCAACAGCCCTTTTTGTCGGGAGGCTGGAGAGCCTCCATCTTTTGTGCTGCATCGCTAAAGATAAAAACCACACGCTTGAAAGAGGCAGTGCGAGTGCACCCAAGGCAGGTCCTTTAGTTTAAGAGCTGGGTCAGCTACCTGCGACCTCTCTCGCTCTCATCTTCCCCTCCCAGCCAGGCCTGAGATGGAGGTTCACAGGGCATCCCTGGCTGCATATTGAAGTCGGGCTTTTGGAAAGGGGAACAATTCCCCAAGCTGCATCCAAGCCACTTCTGCTCACTGAGGATTGCTCAGAGCAGAGATGAAAGAAAATCCCAGTGATCCCACTCGGTCAGTCGATGCAGATGTGTTCTTCTTTTAGAGCACCACACTCAGACTTGGGAATCAGCTTGGATGGCAGTATAAATTTTTATAAAAAAAGAAACCTATGTAGGAAGCTTTAAAGATAGCACAGTCAGGCACATGAGAGCTAGGAATATTAAAGAGGACGCATCCTTAAACTTCTGTTCCATCTTCTCAGCGTACACCGTTCAAACCCCATTCCCCACGCACATGGAGCTGACGCCTCCCAGAGCCCCGGCTCCCAGCAGAGCCTCCAAACACAGCACCTCCCTCCGAGCGATGCAGGGAAGCAACTGACAGCCAGCGCACTGGAGCGGTTTTGCCGAGGAAGGACGACGACTCACTGCTCGCTCGCCCAGTACCCCAGGGGATGGCAGGAAGATCACTCGTCAGTTATTTAAGAAGCCGTGCGAGACCACATACCCGAAGTCGGTTAATGGCTCTGCATGAGAGCCTTTGTTCTGCACACAAAAGCTTATGGCTAACACGGCCCCGTTTTTGAACCTTTCATCGCGCAAGCATGATTTCTTAGAGAAGTTATTTCAACACTGATTTCTCAAGCGGCTCGGTTCTTGTACTTGGATGGTGAGGACAGGAGATATTTAAGGGAAAAGCTGGTAACTGGGCAGAACTTTGGGTGCTGAATATTCAACCGCTTCCCAGCACAGCCTCAGTGAAGCGAGTGCTCACGTGAGCTGCATACAGAGCTCCTCGCAGCCACGCCGGCCCTGTCATCTACTGCAGGGTGGTTTTTCTGCCTCACCTGGCACACACCTAAGTAATCCAGGCCTGGCCCGTCCCAGGGAAGGACAGGGAAAGGTATCAGAAGCATGGCTGGGAGCGAAGCGAGCTCTCTTAGCCCTTCACAGTTCAGCAGCCTTACAACCCCAAAGTTTAAAGTGCTTCTATTTATTTCTCTGGCTCACCTCACCAAAACTATCCTGGTTACTTAAAACGTTTCTACAACAGAAAAATCACCCCTTTTACTACCCGAATTGTGGTTCCCCCATCAAGGAGTCCCCAGGCAGAAGAGAGGAGGTCTCACCTCCAGCCTCCCGTGGCTTCCAGACAAGCAATGGTGCTGCAGGTTGCACACACGCAATCACTTCCCCTCGACCTTCCACCAACCTCATCTTCCGCCAAGAGAAATAGCAGTGGGGACATGCCGAACACCCTGCGGAGGCACAGCGATGTTCTCTCTGTGTTTAGCCCTCTCAGCCTGCCCTGCTCTCCTGCAGGGGATGCACAGCAGGCCTGGGACTGGGGCTGCGCCACTGCGGGGTTGGTACCGGTTACCGTCAGGTTACTGGCGTGATCCCGAAGAGCTCTGCCTGGTCTAGCACGCTCCAGTGTCCCTTGCATTCGTGATGAGACCCATCCACACCCATGGCGAGAATCGGCAGTTTAGCAGCTCGGCGCAGAGTGACTGTAAATCCCAGCCATCCTTTTTGTGATTTCCTTTGAAGCGGGGCTCTGGGCAGCCGGGAGCTCGTTTGGGGTTCACTGCCACCCCTGATTCAAGTCTCCAAGAACCAGACTAAGCCTGGCTACACTTGGAGGATTTCAGACAGTACAGCCCATCCGCTCCCGAGGCAGAGAGCTGCTGGGACCCCTGCAAGCTCCTTACCACCAACGCTACCTGAACCACAGCCTCCCCCAGCAACCTTCCCTGTTTGCTACCCTCTGCCCTGAATGGACAATAAAACCAGCCCATACCGGGAACAATTGAAATGGCTCCTCTCTGCACCGAACACCGAATCCAGACCAGACCTTTCTGCAAAAGCCTGCCTGAACTCAGACGCTAAAATGGCAGCTGTTACAAGCAGTGGCAGCGGTCCATTTTCTGATAACACTTATCAGGTTTGAAGTCAAATCCACACCAAATCCCATCTGCCCTCTGCTCCTAACAATAAAAGGCCCTGACAGGTTTTACGTCTTCTTGCCTGCATTCCTCCTATTCATCTCCAAATGGCTCCTACGCTCCATCTATCTAATACAGAGCCAGCTCCAAATCAGATTTTTCACCCCGGCAGAACATCCACGAAGAGCCACAGCACCCATGGAGAGACGCCAGCGAGCACTTAAGAGCAACAGCAAATCTTTTTTTCTGACAGCATTTCCTCAATTTTGACTCGGACAACTTCCAAACTTCCCCGCTTCATTCTCAGGCCACGGAGGCTCTTAGCCATATGTTACAACAAATTTAAGAACAGAAGAACGAAGACTGTAATTATACAGAGCCCTCATCTTCTGTATTAAACAGACCTATATGCAAACTTGGCTGACAACCATATTGAAGCATCTCCCACATCACAATTAAGGCCCGTACCCAGTAAAGGAGGATGGCAATTATTTTAAAAGCTGCAGGCATGCAGATATTCTAATCTCTTGCCCCAGAGGAGAGGGGGAAAAAACAAAAGGGGCTATTTCAAAGCTTAAAGCTCTGAGCAGAGCTTTCAGATCACCAGAGTCGACACACAGTTTGGAGAGAGCAAGCCAGATTCAGTGACAGACTGCAGGCTCTCGCTACAGAAAGGTCACCCCAATTAAAAAAAATTATGAGCAATGTCTAAAATTATCTGAACAGTTCCTCCACTCCTGGGCCCTACTCAGCTAACAAAAGCTACTCTGCGTAAGCTGCAGAAGTGTATGAAATCAAAGAGCTCCTGTAGCTCTGGCAGCACACCCACCACGAATTCGAGCAGGAGTGCTCCATCAGGGTGATGCCGAGCGGCGTATGGCAGCCCCCAAGCATGCCGGCTCTCCCCTCTCGGTTAGGTGACCCCTCCATGCCAGAGCTTCTCCCTCACAGTGGGCAAGGCAGCCTGGAGGAAGCTGGCTGGTAGCAAGGTGTTGGGATTCCCAGCGGACAAAGCACGGGCTGGTCCTGCAGCACGCAGGTATGGGCAGGTCCGCTTCCAGCCAGGTCTTCATCCCGCACGTCTCCATTCCAGCAGGTAGCCCGCGGTTCCCCGCCAGAGCGATCCAACGCTGCGGCGAGTCTCCGGGGAAGAGCCTCATTTTGCACGCACCATTCACTATGGCTCTTCAGTACTGCGACTGAGACACGCTTTTCTGTGGTGTCAAGCGCCAGTGGCTGCAGCGAGAAATGTTCTCAAGAGGATAATACAGAGCAGACCCCTCTCGGGAACCCAAGATGAAAACTGAGGCTGGAGCGATGACAGAACAACCTGCGAAAGCCCAACACTTTGCAGATCCGGGCTGCTCTTCCCTCCTGTTCCCTGCGCTATTGCTCGAAAGCAGAGCGCTGCCTATCTCCAGACAGAGATGGTTCACAATCCACCATTAATGCAAAGTCACCTTCTCTGGTGGCTGAAGGCAGACGTGCTGTGGCAGCCCAGGAGCTATGCTCAAACAGCTACAGCATGCTCAGCGTGGACAGCCAAGATTTACAACTAGTGCCACCCGTGCCACGCTGAACCCAAGGGTACCGCTTTCTGCCAGCAGCATCGCCCGAGCACTCCTCAGAGTAGGGCAGCTTGAGTGTCAGCAGGCGAGGTCGTGCAGGGGGAGACGTGGGGCTCCAGGCTGGGCTTGCAAGGACGCTGAGCCAGTACCTGCCACTGCTGCTGAAGGAAGGAGATCTGATCCCTGCTCTTCCACTGCACCATGGCGAGCAGCCTTTGCACAATGAATGGGATGAGGAAACTCATCTGGGCTAAAAATACCCAGTTTTGCCTGTTTAATTTTAACCTAGGTCACTTCCCCAATCCTGTTTCCCCTGAAGCCATAGAAATGCCTGTGTCAGCGAGAAGGAGCGGGTGGCAGAGGAGCAACCTCTGTTTTCAGTGGGGCCGCTGAGCTCCCCTGAAGCGCCGGAGCCATGAATCGCCACAGCCACTCCCGCAGGGAGCTTCTCAGCGGTGCCCGGCAGGACCTGAAGCTCTTCTACCCTCCCAGCATGCCCGACAGCCTCCAGACGGTCCTTGGTCTCCCCATGATGAACTCGCTTCACATGTCACATCACGAACACAAAGTTCACGCTACCCGGTTTCACCCAGCGCTCAGCCTCCCGGTCTGAAGGGCTCAGCTCTACAGCCGACAAGCGCACCAAAGTGACTGCAAATGGGAAATACCATAAAACACATAAGTGCAGCTTCAGCCCAGCTCTCCAACCAGCTAAAAAACGCTCTACATCAGGGAAGTTCAAGCTTCAACTGTTGTCCTATGTAGCTAATAGTCATGAAGCCCTGCAGACTTGTACCGACTAAGGGCTGTAAAGAAACCGAAGATTTAATTTGCGATTCTCTTCCTTCCGCCCCCAACCAAGGGAAAAGGCACGCTGTTCTCCAACTGTGCAAATTTGGTTTTTTTTGCACAGTGGGTAAATACTAAGTAACAGTTTGAGACAGATGATTAATTTACTGGAGATTTAGGGCAAGCTATGTATGGCTGGAAAACCAAACCCCTGTGCCACACTTTCACTGGGGTCAGTTAAATTAGAGCAGGACAAAACCGGACGGCAAGTCTGTTTTGGGAGGCAGTTCCTCCCCGTGTGTTAAACAGAACGAGTATTCACCAGACGCAGAAGACAGTCATCAAAATGTTTCACACTTAAATTGCTTGTTGGGTTTTTTTTCTGTCTACGTGGTTAGCAAAGGGAAGCAATGATGAGAAACAACATCTTCCAACTGGTAGAGTTCATCCCCTCACATCACGTTTCTATAAGGAATGGGAAAATCTGAGTGTGGCTCTAGCTTCTAGGCAACTTCTCAAGTCAAAATGAATTTGTCAAAAGCTTATGGAACAGTTTATTCTCTTGACACCTGCAAAAGCTCACAAGTTGCCTCGTTTCATACTGACCAGGTATTCCCCCACTGCAGCGGTTCGACGCTTGAAAGTTTCACCAGCAAATTCCTAACTCAAGTTATTTCAACAGATTCTGGTAGCTTTAGGCCTTTATTTAAAAATGTGGTTGGTTTAAGGAAATGGATTTAAAACAAGAAATTACAATATTAAATAAAGAAAAATAATCAGATGCATTGAAGTCCATTACCTGTCACCACCTTGATCTAAATACCAATGTTCAACGGTGGCTGTCCAAGGAGGCAAGATTTCCATGGGTTTTGCCCACAAAAACAAACTAAATTTGGAATTACCCTACTAATGGGTGGATGCTGCCAAGCCCCAAGGACCTTGTCAAGGGAGGACTCTTAGACCCGGGTTAGGCCCTGCCTCGAGCGCTGATCTATGTCTGCAGCCTGCCAAGGCACCTTCCACGCTGGGAACTCCAGAGACAGTTGATGGACGTTCATGCAGAGCGGATTTCGCCCCATATCATACGACAATAATGTTATGAGCTAATAGCTCCGACTTCTAAATGTGACCTAGTTCTATATGCTACGGTGAAGCACAAAGTGTCTCTCACCTGATGGTCCAGGAAAGCTCTGCAGGGAGCCTGTTGAATCATGGCCACAGTGTGGCCACGGGAAGCAGAGGGGAGCAACACAGCCCACATCACAGAACAAGTCTCCAGCAAAGGATTTGGAAACAAACCCCGCCCTGCCGACTCCCAGGCTGGCGCTGAAGCCAGCAGGCACACCTGGCTCCGAGACAACCACTGCAGACAAATCTGTGCGTTCCATCTGCCCCACTCCTGTTTTAGAGCAAATAACTCAAAACCAACTCTGTCACAGCGTCCAGACTCACTCCTCCCAGGCACCGAATCCCTCAAGGCTTGACCCTGCCCCGACTGTCCTGCGTTCATCCCCAAGACACGCCTTGGGAAAACCATCACCAAAATAGTGAAATACAGCAAATCCCCTCCTGCCTCCAGGCTCAGCACCACAGGAATGACCCCAGAACTGTGGCCAGAGGGAAGAGAAATTTCACATTAATAAACATTGCGTAACACCCATTCCCTAAAAGACCTGAAACCAAGAGAAAAAAAATACACCTTCCTGCACATCTCAGACTTTTGCCTCCACCCTGCGCTTGCCTGGACAGGAGGGCCCCAACACAAGCACAGAAGAAAATGCAGAAGTAAATAACTTCCTCTCCGCCAGCAACACGCTCAAGGCACAAAACTTATCTAGAAACAACATCTAAAGAAAAGAACGTGCCATAGATGAGTAAGAGGCAGAAGCACAGCACCATCAGCCGCACTAAGAATCGATCCAGGAACAACCAGGCAAGCGTGCCGACGCAGAAGCAAGGAGGCTTTGCTGTACAGCGAAATGGAAACTTTGGGGGCCTGCAGGCCGGTGCAGAGCAAGCAACCCCAGCTCTGGTCGCACAGAATCGGGGTTTCAAGGTGCATTTAAGCCCGCAGACTGCCACCTCCACATTTACATCAACACAGGGATGCATTGCATTTTCCCTCCAGCAGGAAGAGTGCCTCAGTATGGACTTGTGATGAACAAGAGTTTTTGACACACACTATTAACCTCCATACACGTAGTGTTTTCTAACGGATGCAGCTGCAAACCATAGTGGTCACCCGGGAGCGCTCTCTTCCCAGTGAGGTGCTTGTGCTTTGGGGAAACTTGTTGCGTTAAACGATCAGGCTCAAGAAGAATAAAAAGCCTGCGAGCAGCTCAGCTATCCCGTGAGGCAGTGCAGCCTGTGAGGTTATTTTATGAAAAAAACCCCAAACCAACAAAAAAACCAACACCTGAGCAAGAAGTCAACTGAGAGGGGAAAGCAGAGGAAATGGCCTCTGTCAAAGTTCTGCACACGAAAGGCTGAGAGCTTTAAAAGCCGCTGGAAGGAAAGGTGACGCAGAAAAAGGCACCTGCCTGGGGTCTCCCTTCCCGGAGCAGCCTGGGCTGAGCTCTTCGAGGCGCCAGGGCAGGCTCCACCCCAAAGATAACACCACCGCGCTTTGCTTCCGTACAAAGGTGCCCGGTGTTACTCAGGCCAGCAGACAGTGCAGCGAGCCCACAGGTAGCCCGGCTGCAGATAAGGACATTTATACGAAGGGACTCTCTTTCGAGCTAAGCTGTGCTCAGACAAGCACCTTTACAGCCCTGGTGCAACACTTGCAGCAAAATAATCACTGGCTCCCCAGGGACTGAACTGTCCCCGCCAGAGATGCAGATGCAAACCAGCCCCCCCAGCCCATCCCCTGAGGCCAGGACACCCACCAGGCTGGCACCAGGGGCCATGACAGAGCCGTGGGCCTGCATCCCTCCTGCTCCCTGCATCCCTCCTGCTCAGGAAATCAAAGGGGGGCAGGCTGGAATCTCCTTCCCACCCCCAAAGCAAAAAGCTGAGGCCAGGGCTCCACACGCAGGCTTCCGGTTCCTCGACTCCCCCCACACATTCTGTACCAGCGCTGGCACCACGCTGGGCCCGTTCTGATGAAGGCTGCTTTACTCAAAGCAAACATCCCTGCAAATCCACCTTTCCCTCAACTTCCTCCCTGCCAGGCCCTCTTCTCCAGCTCTGCTCCCTCAGCCCGCCTCAACACTGCAACCTCCAACCCCCTCCCCAGCTCTCTCCTCCTCCCCTGGGCCTCCACACTGCCCTAGCGCTAACCCCCCCACCGAGCCCCACTCTCCCCTCCAATTCTGCCTGTCCGACTTTGCTCCCCCATCCCCCAGGCCTTCACTCTGCCCAAGCTCTGATCAACTCC